CCCCCTGCACTGCGCTATACCCCACGTGTCAGATACCCAGGTATAGCGTGGATCAAGGGGCGCGCTATACTCACGTGGCGCCAAATCATCGTATATCGCGGGACAGGGGGCACGCTATACCCACGTGGCGCCAAATCAGCGTATAGCGCGGTTCAGTGGGCGCTTTATTGCTACGGGTGTTAGATCGTGAAATATAATCTGACCGGTGTTAGATCGGTAAATATACCGATCACCAGTGATTTATTGGGAAAAACGCCATTTTAAGGTAACTGTCTATATTTTTTATACACTTTCAATTTTCAAAATTATTTTTTTATTAATAAATATATTTAACGTTATAGACATTAAAATAAAAAATTATCAATATTGTTATATTTTTAATAAAATTAATGACTTTTATTAAAAATAAAAAATATTTACTTACAAATTAAATAATTTCGGTAAAAAATTATTATTATTAAAACCTTTGTTTTGAATTCAAACCCCTAGAATTTACCGTATATTAATGGAAAAAATTACTTAATGATAAAATATGTAAATTACAGAATTACCCATTGTGCTACTTTACTGTCAGTGTGTGTAATGTAGCAGTATAAATACACATAGGAGAAAAACCCTAAAAACAAAATCCCAAAGACAAACGAAATTCCCTCCTTTTCTCTCTCTTTCCAAACCCCCCAAAATCTAAGAAAAAAGAACGATAAAAGGGGAAAAGGAGGTATCTAATGCCCCAAAAATCGCCCTCTCTGCAGCAGGCACGTCGGTTTCCTCCTTTCCCCCAACCCCCTCTAATTGTTGCAATTATTATTCACAGGATAGAAAATTAAAATTAAGAGATATTTCTTTGCATGTCTGATCAAACTGTTTTCCTTTTATATATGTTTCTGATCTTATGAGTTTGACAAGTCTGAAATTTTGGAATAAAATTTTATCTATTACAGTGAAAAGAAAAGTAGTAATAATGTCGAAAACTGGATCTTGAATTGCAGAAGAACAGTTACAGGGTCTTTGGGAACATGGCGTTGATTGTTCCGAAGGAGCTTGACGAACTCGAAAAGCCTCTTTCTTTGCATTCTCCCAAGCCTTTTGATATCCGATTTCAAGTCCCCGATTTGAGAGTTCCAATTAGAGTGAGCTTCTTTTTCCCTTTCCTTTTTCTTTTCCCGCCTTCTTATAATGTTCTTGCTCTAAGCCTATGTGCTGTTTGGGTGCCGAGAAAATAAAGTTTTAGAAAAGAATATTTTTTTGGATTCCCACTTCTTTCAAGGCAAAAGTTGCGGAATAAAACATGCTTTTCTGCCTCGTATTATTTTCTATTTTCTTTGTTAAAAAAATTGGCTGCTAAGAGCTACGGGAAAAATTCACACCGAACAAAAGATATAAAAGAAATCATCCCTCTTATGAAAATTGTTATTTTGGCAATATTTCATCGCATCTTTCTGAAAAAATGCATTTGCTATGGCGATCTCAAAGATTTTATGGACATCAGAATTATATTGTTCCAAATGAAAAAAAATATTGTTGAAAAACTTATATTTGATTTTTTTTCATTTTTATGGATATTTATGATCCAATTCTTTATAATGGGCCTAAGATGGTTACCCGTATTAGAGTTAGGTTGAGTTATGAGAAATCTTTCATGTAATTCATTGAATTTTTTTCTAAACTTCCATTTGCCTGCAGTAGTAGAATTGATTTTATGGAAAGAAAAGAGATCTGAAGTTTAAAAATTCATTATTTCAATTAACCGTTGTCCTTTTGTTTTAATGAAGGTAACAAAGGAAATAAAGATGCTTTAGTGAATTTTAGAATCCTTTTGATTGTATGTATAATTGATTGTTGTTGATATTACAAATGCATGCTCTAATTCTGATTCAGGACTTCTTGAGGACTAGGGAAGTTGGTGAGTTTCTTAGTGGAGCTTTAGCAGGGGCTATGACCAAAGCTGTTCTTGCTCCTTTAGAAACTATCAGGTTGGCAGACACTTTGTGTTATATGGTTTCATTTTTAGTTTTCTGAGTTATAGTCTACCAATTACCAGTATCTCTAATATTTATGTTTCTTTTTCCAGGTGTCTGGTAAGTGTAATTATTTTTTCAATAAGCCTTAAATCTGTAAAATGATATGTAAACTTACATAGAAAAGCTTGAACTTTGGCTGACAAACTTTTGTCAACTCTTAGAACAGTTGGTTACTTATTGTAATGATTCTTGTGGACGCCTTATTTCTTTCCTTGTACTGCAGTGTGGTCCACTTCTTCCTCCTGTGAGTTTCAAGTTTCCTAGCGTTTTATAGGATTGAATGTGTGCATTGTTAGTTTTGTTTCTAGGGTATACTAAATTGTTGACCTGCAAAGTTTTGGATATCACTTTTGCCTTAAAATCATTATCGTGTGTTTGTCACCAATTTATTGCAGCATAAACTTCTGATTAGTCATGTTAAGACAAATAGAAATATTTGTTCAACTCATAACGTCCGAGTTCTGACTTGCAGGACCAGAATGGTGGTTGGGGTTGGATCCAAAAACATAATTGGTAGTTTCGTTGAGATCACTGAGCAGCAAGGTTGGCAAGGACTGTGGGCTGGAAATGGAATCAACATGATTAGAATAATTCCCACCCAAGCCATTGAGCTTGCAACATTTGAGTGTGTCAAGCGCACAATGACATCAGCACAGGAAAAATGGAGTGAGATTGAAAGCCCACAATTGCAAATTGGCTCTTTGAACGTTAACTTTTCTCTTTCCTGGATTTCTCCAACTGCTGTGGCCGGTGCAGCTGCTGGAATTGTTAGCACACTTGCATGTCATCCTCTCGAAGTTCTCAAGGTATCTGACATATCATGAGTTGATTATCTTTCTTCTTCTTTTTTGTTCCTTAAATTAAAAAAATAAAAGCAGAACATTCCACATCATGATGAATTGTTTTAGTTATTGTTTTTTTATACTTGTTACAGATGAAGTGCAACTAAGAGTATGGATTGTATAATGATGACATCCAACTCACCATTTTTATTAATGCCTTGTAGACCTCTTAGTATCTCACTTTTGTGAGCGGTTGGTAAATTAGTTGAATAGCTCATCTTTATGTTGTTTAGACACTTGGGAAAATAATTAATATGAATCTGATTATGTTGAAACTATTATATAGTTTGTCTCATTTTATGCTTTCGCTTATGGAGCTGAATGTTCCCCTTGTGATTCTTACAGGATAGGCTGACTGTCAGTCCTGACATATACCCTAGCTTAAGCATTGCAATCAGCAAGATTTACAAGGATGGTGGTGTTGGTGCGCTTTATGCTGGTCTTTCTCCAACGCTAATGGGAATGCTTCCATATAGTACTTGTTACTATTTCATGTATGACAAATTAAAGAAATCCTACTGCCAATCAAAGAGGAAAAAATCTCTAAATCGTCCGGAGATGCTTGTACTTGGAGCTCTTGCAGGTGAGCCTTGTCCTGAACTGTTTATTTGAAATTATTAAATGGGGTTTCTCATATACCATTGACAAAGCTTTGTTTTTGATTTCTCAAAACACACACACACAGCGTTTTTCCCCTTCCTATTTGTTATTTTGAACATTAGTGCATCCATGCTTTAGAGCTAAACTGGTTCAATTGAAATGGTCAGGTTTTACTGCTAGCACCATAAGCTTTCCATTGGAAGTAGCCAGAAAACGGCTAATGGTGGGAGCTTTGCAGGGTAAGTGTCCACCAAACATGGTAGCAGCACTTTCTGAAGTAATCCGGGATGAGGGCTTAACGGGTCTTTACAGAGGGTGGGGTGCTAGCTGTTTAAAAGTAATGCCCTCCTCTGGTATCACCTGGATGTTTTATGAAGCTTGGAAAGACGTGTTGCTTGTTGAGAGACGCACATTATGATGGCTCTAGAAAAGAAAAACACTTCTGGTAGCTAACTAGTTGAAGTTCCTCTCTTTAAAGTGCCAGAGGATGCTGTGCTTATGTGGTAGTAGTTTCAGGGTATTTTATGGGAGCCCCACATGATGGTATTTAAAAGTATCAGATCCCATATACATATATGAATAACCCTATCAATGTCTACATTTCTAAAAAAAAAATTTGTTCTGCCTAATTATCAGGTGAGCTTCAATTTTGTTCCGGTTGATATGTACCAACAGATTTCTTATACATCACATGAGTTTTTGACCAATTTGGTCTCTATATCTGCCCATCTCTTGTTTGAGTGGAGATAATTGAACCATACTCGTATCTTGTTCAAGAGATGATTTTTCCATCAACAACCGTAATCTTTGAAAACCGATATTGCCTTACAATGGCCGTCAGGGAAGTGGCTCGGTAGTGGTGTTTCTGGCTCTGCCACTTTGTTCTGTGTGAAACACGAGATTCTTCCTGCAATTGTCGATGACATTTTGACTTGTTGGAAGGGGCTTTTGGAATTTTGAGATCCAAATTCAAAACCTAATGCTAGTAGGTTCTATTCAGATTTTATTTAAGTTGTTTAACAAGTTACTTAAGTTTGAGCTTATAATTACCGATTCTAGTTAGAATTGTAATTGGGAGTCCTAAAGTAAAAAGGGGAAAATATCTTCCAGCAATTTGTTCGTAAACAACTAACAATAACAAGTATTCGCTTGTCAAACAAGTCATCAAGCGCAAAACAATTCTCGAGTTCGTACTTCTCATTGGTATTATGGGATATTCACGTTGCACCTATAGAAACCATTAGTGCTACAAATGTTCTAAAACAGGCAAAACCAAAAGGTTCAAATTACATTCTCGGAGGTTAGATACATTTTATCGATGATCAGCCGTACGGAAAGTACAAAACTAAAAATTACATAATACATCTTACAGTCTCGGCCAAAAGTATAGAGAAAATCAGTAATACATCTAACAGTCTTGGTCAATGTGAAGCGAAAATCAGCTATACATCTTACAGGCCAATGTATAGCGGGGATACACAAAGGCCAGTCTAAGCTAAAACAAAGTTTGGAAGCTTCAACTTGCTTTCTTGTATGATCAAACTGCACTTGCAATTACATATTATCGTCATCGACAATGGTGCCATTTCTTTGCCTTTGTAACTGAGGAACACATGTTCTGATTGACTGTGAGTTTTTCGCAAGCATGTATAGGCAGAACAAGCATAATCCTATTTCAGAAACACAGGTTTTTTTCCTCATAAATATCAGAAAGATATAGACTTGAGGGGGAAAGGAGAAGAAAAAAACATTTTATCAAGCATGCTAAAATTTCTGGTTGTGAAAATTTAATACATAAAAAGAGTGTTCGTTGTAGTCAAACAGCAAATCACTTTTTCCATATTTCGGCCATATTCCCAAATCCTGTCGTGGGTAAATAATTCTCAATGGCACTTAAATAGTTTTGTTAATACGGTGATTGCTCCAAAGCAGGAATATGAAATTTCTGAATGCATAAAATAATTCATAGTGCTTGAATGAGCAAAAGAAACTTGACAGGGTCTCAAGACAAATAGTGTGTGCTTTATTCAACATAAACAGGCTAAAATATCTGTTTTTAGCAACAAATATTAAAGTTGCAATGGGAGTTAATGGCAAACATACCTGCATAAGCAACTGTAGCACCAGAGACCAATCGTCCAATGGCTGACAGTATGTAAAGACAAACAACGACCTGAAGGTAGACATGCATCAGATTAGTAACCATGCAAGAAAAAAAAATCTCAAGATAATTGCAGTACGGTATTATCATAATAAGCTTCAAAAGACGCTAAAGCAATGAGCAATTCAACAAACAAGAGAAAAACAGTTGGCCAGGGTTCCAAGGAGAAGGGTGGTTCTCAGAGGTTAGAAGCATCAAGCCCTTTGATATGTATATTCAAAGGATATCAATTAAACCAGAAGAATTAGAATCTAAATAGAAAAAAAGTAGCTGATTTTATAGTGAACAACTAATTAAGTTGCAACAGTTCACCCCAAAAAATAGTCTTTTGTCGTGTCCAGTTGCTGCAACCCTTAGAACTGACTCAGCTGCCCCAACAGTATTAGCTAACCATGCAAAAATGCTATTAGCAGCATCCTGTGAGATCTGCCACTCAAGTGGATCTACTGGAACCCTATAAAAAATCTTTTGCATTATGAGAGTGAAATGGTTCAAGAATAAAAATTGATTACTAAAACGAAAAAGCAAAATCATATGAATGCCATCAGATAAATCACATTGCACATAAGATATCGTAAACACACAATTTGATCAACACTGGACTAAATTTAATAGTTCAAGTGCAGCAGAACAATCAGACGAAATAGAAAATAAAAAAATAAAATAAAAGCCATCAGGAAAGGGGAAAGAAATATAGGAAATACATGACAAAATTAGATGAATGGGGGAAAAGGAACCCCAAGCTGGAGATGAATTTCAACACAAATCCAAATCTAACCATAATTCAAACCTATTACAAACAGAAACATCTTCAGCACAAAGCTCAATTAACCCTAAAGCCGTAATAATTCACTAGATGTGGTTAAAGTTAAGATTGGATTGAAAAAATACTTTAAATAAACATCCAAAATGCTAAATCGTTCAGTAAGCATGTTCTTGTCAATCATCATAAAAAAGATCAATAATTAATATATTGATAAGCACGAATAATTTATGATGTCACCATGATTAATTAAACCAACTGAAACTTAAATCCAGAAACTACTGCAGTGACACAATAAGCCCAGAGGTGAAATCTAAAACTCCGAAACTAGCGAGAACAGAAATAAACTAAAACTCCAACGAATAAAACAAATAAAAATGATAATTTGAAAGAAACCCGGAGGTGTAAAAGAGAAGAAAGCGTACGAGATGTTCATTTGACGAAAGAGGAGGCCGAGAATAGCAAGAGAGCAAAGGAGAACGATTAAGACATCGGAGAAGAGAGAGAGAATGGTTGAATTGCGAAAGGCACAGTGGTAGTACACCAAGGTACCACAAATCAGCAATCCCAATGATTTCCCCACTTCGCCCCTCCCTTCGCCTTCCATCGTCACTTCTTGCAATCCCTTCTTAACTGGGATTGTTTCAAAATTTTGCTTTACAGTTGGAGTCTTAATTTTCAATTTCTTCTTGCCCCCGATGTGGATTGGAATCTTAAACGCCTTGACTCGTTTTTTTAATTCTTTTTTTCTTCTTCTTATTTGCTCTTAATCAATGGATAAAATATAGGAATTGAATTGATATCCAAAATCACAGCGGTGTTGGTCTTAATCGAAAATTTGTATCCGTTTGGTTATTAGGAAATGATTATCTCAAATAATAATAAACTCTTTAGCAAGTGCACATATTTATGTTTAGTTTGCTCATTCTCATTATAAAAATATAATATTATTAACAATAATATTTTTATTAAGCTTTTAAAAATCATATTCATTAATTATTTGTCAGTTTCAATTATTTAGATAAAAATATTTTAAAAATATTGATTTTTCTTTATACAATTTGTTATATTTTTATACTGTATAATTAATTAATTTTATATAAATTTATTAAATGTTTTTATTTTGTATTAGTTTACTATTTAGATAATATTATGTATATTAAGAATTTTTTAATTTAATGTTTTTAATACTATTGTATTTATATTGTTTTTAATATTATTTTTAAATGTAATATCTAAACATCTAACTTATAATATAAATTCCATTGATAATATTTGATTAAAATAATATAAATTGAATTTCAGTTTTTATATAAAAATTTGAATTATAAATTTAAGACAATAAAATAGTCATTAGTTACTCAAATTCACTTAAATTTAACTTGATTATGAACATGTTACAACTCAAAGTTCTATGGTTATCTTACTTATAGATTCTTCAAGAGTTGAAAAACAACTTTATTTTATTATATTTACTTGAAAGTTTGATTATAATTTCAGAGTTAATTTTTAAGTCTAAAATGTTTTTGGATAAACTATACGTTTAGTACTCTTAACTATCAATTATTGTTTTACTTAGGTCACTCAAGTATTTTTTTTTCAAAATTATAACTAATGTTATATTTTAGTTTCATTTTAGTTATCCGTTGTTAAAAATTAATAGAACTGTTGACACAATTTTTTTCAATGATGACATAGTATTACCTTATGGTGATATGTCAACATCACAGTTAATTTTTTAGCAGTAACTGACCAAAATGAAATCAAAACATAATATTAGACATAATTTTAAAATTAAAAAAAGTTAAGTGACTAAAATAGAATAAAAGTGATAGTTAATATACTAAATATATAATCTAACTAATATTTTTTAATAATTTAAATATATATTTATAATCACTAAAAGTTGACTTAAAATCTTATAAATGGATCGCATTAATTAGTCAATTGCAGCAATATATTATCATTCGAACTTGATATGACCAAGTCGGAACTGTACAGGCGGACGCTGAATTATAGGCTTATAGCCTCGGATACTCACAGGCCGGGGCCTATCTTGGACTATTTCCAATCCCCAAAGAACACTGTCAGTGCAAGCACATGTAAACGTCAATTTTGCCATAATTATACCATCCATTCTTATCATATCAGATAATTTTAACCATATGAAAAAAACAATGTAGATAATATAACTTATGTAAGGTGACGGGATCCCTAATAAAAGCTATGTAAATATTATTATAACAAACATGTATGAATACAATTAATCTGTACCTAAAGTTTTTTATTCAAATATTTTGATGCAAATTTAAGTTAAAACAAAAAGAAAAAGATAAACATAATAATCAAGAAGGTTTCAATAATAAATAAAGGGTTAATACTAAAATAAGTTATTAAATTATGCATTGAAAAACATTTTAGTGTCTAAAGAATTTTCATTAAAATAGATGTCTAACGTTTTCTCTGTTACTATTTTAGATGCACGGATGTTAATTGCCGTTAAAAATCTTTGTTAAGTGACGCGTGTAACGTTATGACAATTTTAAAATTTTTTATTTAAAATAAAAAATATATATTTTAAAAAAGACAAAAGGGTTCCTGAGGCCCTCTTACTTTTGGGGGAAAAAACCAATGTGGACCTCCATATTTTTTACACTTAATGTGACCCTTCAACTCAGAAAAAAAAATTCTAGTCCTTTGATCAATGTTTCTTGTCTTTGACTGACGAGACCGTTAATATTTTATGACTTGGCACATTAAACATGCCACCTTGCTCCGTTTAATGATGACTAAGATTAAAATGCTAACTAAAAAATTAAATAATTAATAAAAGCTAAATAAATTTTTTACCAGGAAAACAATATTAAAAACCCTAAGGTGACGTTTGGTTGGATGGAATCCCTTGGAATTGGTGGGAATTGGAATCTAATTCCACCACTTTCCCATGTTTGGTTCAAGTTTTTCAAGGGAATTGGAATCCCTGATGGAATTCAATTCCCTTGTTAGAGAGGATTGGAATTTGACCATACTACCCTCATCAATCATTTGGTAACTTATTCATATATTGAATAAAAATATTTTTTTATTATTTCGGGTCGGGTTTCTAATTCATATATTCGAGTCGGGTCGGGTAAGGTAGGGTGAAACTTTATTTTGGTCGGGTAGGATCGGGTTTTTTAAGTGTGCTATTCGGGTCGGGTCGAGTTTAGGGTGAAAAACACCGGACCGACCCGAAAATATATATAATTCAGGTCGGGTCGGATTAAGTCACTATTTTTATTAAATAAAAATATTTTTTTATTATTTCGGGTCAGGTCAGGTTGGATTTCTAATTCATATATTCGGGTCGGGTCGGATGAAACTTTATTTTGTTTGGGTCGGGTCATGTTTTTTAAGTGTAATATTCGGGTCGAGTCGGGTCGTTTTTTTAAGTGTGATATTCGGGTCGGGTCGGGTTCGGGTTTAGGGTGAAAAAAACCAGACTGACCCGAAAATATATATAATTCGGGTTGGGTCGGATTAAGTCACTATTTTTATTAATTAAAAATAATTTTTTTATTATTTCGGGTCGGGTCGGATTTCTAATTCATATATTCGGGTCGGGTCGGATGAAACTTTATTTTTTTTGGGTCGGGTTCGGGTTTAGGGTGAAAAAACCGGACCAACCTGAAAATATATATAATTCGGATCGGATCGAATTAAGTCACTGTTTTTATTAAATAAAAATAATTTTTATTATTTCGGGTCGGTCGAGTCGGATTTCTAATTCATATATTCGGGTCGGGTCGGATGAAACTTTATTTTGTTCGGGTTGGATCGGGTTTTTTAAGTGTGATATTCGGGTCGAGTCGGACAATAACAAAACCAAACAAGCAAATACATCCAAAATGGAATGAATGCTTTCAAAATAATGGTGGACCTCATATAGTGGTGGAATTAAATAATGGATTCTTGATATCAAATATTTGAAAATGGGTGCCACTAAAACTAAAAAAAAAGCCTAGGTGCTCATCTCAAGGTTTTAAAAAATTAAATATGCACAATATGGGTGAAATTTAAATATTGATGAAAAATATACCGATTATGTTAAGGAAAAAAATATGTATAATATAATATGGTCGAATTGAAACAAATAATATTTTAATGAAAACTTTATAAATAAACCTGAAACAAATAATATTATAACAATAACATGACTAAAATAGGATATTTAAAAATTTAGTGGTTAAATTGAACAAAACCAAAAATATTATAACAATATAAATCAATGACTAAGATACAATAATTACGAACATTATAACTAAAGTCAAATAATAATATAACATATAATAGTGTGACTAAAATATAAATATTAAAAATAAAATACTTAAAACAAAATAAACATAACTTTATTTTATGACATGAAAATAAGGATACAAATGCATAAGGACTAAAAAGAAACATGCAGAAAATTAAAAATCAAATGTATAAACAAACAGAAACTAATTACATTACCAATTAGGACTGAAATTAAATTCGGATAAAACATGGAGAATAAATTAGAAATACAAAAATATTGATCTAAGGACTATAATATATAAAACTGAAATGTTAAAACTCAAAATAAGATAAATAAGACTTCATTTAATGACTATAAGGTATGGATACAAATCAACAGGGACTAAACGTGTGGTTATTCCATAAGCTAGGTGTATGGAACCTTACTATCAAAACAGCACAGTATCCTTGTGTATTTTCTCATTTGCTAAATCCCTAGGCCACATTCCTTTTCCTCTTTACTTTCCCTCTTGCCGTTTTACACTCTAACTCATCACTTTTCCTTTCTTTCTCTTTCTAGCAGACAAGGCACAAGATGGGATTCACCATGGCCTTTGTCATCGGCTCCGTTGAGGAGTTAAACGACACTCCCTACTCTTTCGGGGGTTTTTTCTTTTCGATTTAAGGTAAGCTTTTCGAATGGATTTTTTTTCAGTATTTTCTCACAGTTTTTCCTTTTTTTTCTTGTACTCTCCCCTCTCTAATTATTTTTCATATTATTTTCTGTTATTTGTGGGCAACTAGGTTAGATTCGAAAACAATAAAAATGTATATCTATGTATATATATATATATATATATATATATATATATATATATATATTTTCCATACCCTAAGAGAATCGAAAAGAAATTTTACTCAACCTAATCGAACATAAAAGGATTTAAAGTGAACAAATCAGAAGAAAAAATGCATTAAAAATGATGAAAATAATAGGAAAAAATAGTAAATAATTGATACCTTTTAGTATGTTATTGCTTGAATATAGAGTTTACAGTGTGTCGTTTGCCAGAATTTTCTCCAATCCCTGTTTCAATCTATTTTTTTTGTTATTCCCATGCTCTCTGATCAGTGTTTTCCCTTTTTCTTCTCAATTCCTCTTCTATTTTATTGTTGAAATCTTCACCGAATCTCATTAGATGCATCTTCATTTTCTTTGCGTTTGGTATGATATTGATGGGTTAGGTGAAATCATTAATTTTGCTTGACTTTGGTGCATGTGACTTTATGAATTTTGCTGTTTGGTGACCAACATGATGATGATGATGTTTCAACTTGCTCGGAGGTGACTCGCCTTGGTGACTCGTCGATGGAGAGGCTTGGTACTGTTGTTGATTTGGGTCTGTTGGGTTTCTTATAATTGGGTCATATTTGGCCTGCACAAAAATATAAAGACACTTAATAATAATAATAATAATAATAATTTAATAATATTCTTTAACCCTGACAAAAAATGGG